AAGATAGTTATAAATTGATACATTTTGGAAATAACAATGGCAAGAATTTGATAACATTTTTCAATTTATTTTTATGTATATGAAATCAAAACTTATTCTTTTCTTAGTAAAACTTAGAACTTCTTAAACTTATTCTAACTTATTTCTTATATAAAAATTATTTCATATTTAATGATTTGCTTGCACGGATATTCCAATACTAAAATTCGTTTCAAAAGATAACATTTCTACATAATTATTTGATAATATCTTTATGGAAGAGAAGCAAAATTGTGTTTCTGAAACATGTCCTCCTAATAATATCTTTCGGAAAAGGTCTCAGGAATCTCCAGCGCATTTATTCGTCGAATTTTGTTAAATATTTCCAAAAAAAAAAAAACGTCCAGGAGAGCTGCTAAAGGCTGTAAGGTTTAAAAAAAATAGAATTTTTAAATTCAAAATTTATTTATTGTTTAAGTTAATCAAAATATTTTTAGAAAATTCTAAAGATTAACGCTAATGAATGAAATGTATAAAAGAAAAACTTATTTTGGACACAAAATTGTCAAGCTCTATTCGAGTATTAGTTTTTTTTCTTTTATTTATGAAAAATTAAGAATACTGGGAAAAAAATGCTTTGAAATTAAAACCTTGACTTCCACAACACGGTATAAAAAGTTTTAACACAGTTACAACCTAAATACAGTTTTCTAATAACGAAAAGCTTTTGAAACCGCTGCAGTGTTGTATGAAAAAAGCAGTCTTAATTTTTTCGCTGTCTGTTCTACTTTTGTTTTACGTTTCGACTGCGTATTCGATATATATTGAAAACTTTACGTTTTTATGCTTGGAAGTCATATTTTCAAGGCGTTTTGAAAGTCAAAAAAAAAGGTTCTCCAATCCTGTTAAGGAACACTATAAACGTTTATTTTTACTTAATTTTAAAATATACTATCAACAAAACGCATAATTATTATACATGTGTATAACAATATTTTTAAGTGTGTGTAAACATACACCCAAATTCTTATTTTCGCCATTTCATTTAACAAAACTCATTAAATTAGAACGAGTTTAGGAAAATTTTTATCGTTTAAATTTACAGGATGACGAAAAAAAAAATTTTTAGAAATTTATTTTTATTTTAATTTTTTTTTTTTTGGAATTTTTTGTTCATTTGTAAATTTTAATCCGATCAAATTAAATGTACTGAAGCGCGTCAAAGTGCAAATATGAAAATTTCGTTTGATGGAATTTCTATTTTCACTCCTTTTTTATGTCCTACTTTTACCCCTTATACGTAAATTTTTTTTTTCTGAATTTTTATTTTTATTGTTTTTTTTTTTTGTTAAAAAAAAGGATTTTTTTTTCATTTCATTTCATTGAGAAATACCACAAAATAAATTTTCGTTGTTAATAAAATGTTTTTAGTGATTGTTGTTTTTGTTTTTTCTTTTTTTTTTGTATTTTCAATTGGAATTTCATCAATTTAAATTTTGTTTTTTCTTTTTAACTAAAAATTTTGATTTTATTTTGTTTTTCTGTTTGGATATTTTGAATATTGGTAAAATAATTGCGTAGTTATTTGTGGTTTTTAAAAATTTTCAAATAAAACAGAATGAAAGAAATAGAATTGAAAAACATTTTATTTTGTTCTTGCTAGCCTTAAGATATTTTCATTGAAAGTATTCTTCGATTTCATTTCAATTACGTCAATATGAATTTATATATATATATATATATATATATGTATTACATGTGTATGCCTTTAGTATGTATTTAATTTATTTATAAATTGTTGCTATTTACTTAATATATAAAAAATAAATTGCATGCCGCTAAAAGTATGTCTCAGAAGAAAATACAGAAATAATATTGAAATAATGAAATTATGAAGATAATTTATAAAATTCTATACATTTCTGAAAATTAAAATTAATATGTTATGTACACAGTAACAACCTACCGGGTTTTTAATAAAAATGTTGGTAATGCTGGTTTGGTTCAGAACACGTTCAAAGTTTTTTCTTTAAATTATTTAAGCTTAATTCTTACAAGGAAATTGACTTCGATTCGGCGAATAACATATAAGAATATCCCAGCAGTAGTATTTTTTTCAAAGTATAAACTAAGAGTTTTGTATTAGTTTATCCGAAGTTCTAGAACAGGCATTAAATCATATTTATTCAGGCAATTTTCGGATTGAAAACATCAATCTAATCACATGTAAAATGTCCAACAATTATTAATTTTTTTTTGAAACTAAATAATTAGAAAACATTTTTCGGATTATAGTTCCAAAATATGGAAGTGGTGAAATGGCAATTCATGCTCACGTGGTACGATAAAAATTTGACAATGGTGCGATTAAAATAAAAAGATCAAATTGAAAAGCTATATAAACTGAAATTTCAATTAACAATAGCCTTAAATTTCTATTGTCATCTTGTTTTACGAAATATCAGATTTAATCCTATTGATTATATATTTGCAACACGATAGACTTAAAAAGATAAATATTTTTTTGATAGTTCGAATTAGATATAGGTTGTGCTTGAATGTAATTTAAAAATGTTCATTTTTTCTTTTTCATATATTGGTAAATTGATCTATTTGAATGCGAGTAATTGTGGTTTTAATTTAAATTTTCCGATATTTTTCAAATTGAAAAATTTAGTTATTTTATATTTTTGTGTATAATATTATAAAAATAATGACATGTTGAGTTATTATAAATTATTATTTTGTTATTGTATTTATCATTATTTACATTTTATACATTATATACTTATTATAATGCGGGCATACATATATTATTTCTCTTTGGCAACAGTTTATTAAAACCGCTTAGAAAATGCAATTTATTGACCAAAATATTTCGAGTAATTTGAAACATGTTTATAATATTTTTATTTTCTATTTATTATATTCATATAATTTCTATTTATAATTATAATTAAATTCACAGCAAAACCTTAAATATAATACTTTCAGTTTTATATGTATAAGAAAGGTGCAGTGGAAATTAAATTTGCGACAAAATATTTGAAAAATAGCAAAATATGGGAAAACGAAGAAATAAGTTAGGATATATGTAAATTACTACAGGCGCCATTTAAATGATGAAAAGTAATTTTACCAATGTAGTATACCTAAAATTCAATTAAAAATTATAAACATAATAGTGCCCATACGAATTTTGAAAAAATTTTCATACCAAGAACTTTTGTTATTTTGTTAATATTTATTCCAATTAAAACCTAAAAATATCCTTGACAAAATATACTCGATTTGAATTCTTATACATTTCGAGACAAAAGCACTTTTTCTTCGTAAATAAATATGTAGATACATAAAGAATCAACAGGTTGATTTTCTGTAATAAGAAATAAAATTCTAATACTTTAAAAATCACTTGAATATTTATATACCATTAAAGATGATTGAGTTTTCCTTTTGTTATATAAAAATATTTAAAACATAAAAAAAATTCCATTTATTTATTTGAAATTCCAACAATTACTTAATGACCAAATCAATTAAATCAAAAATAATTTCCTTTCGCATGCAATTTAATTACGTTTTATTGAAAAATATAAAAATACAATTTTTTTCTTACAGACACAAATCACGCTTTCAATATTTTGTTAATATTTAAGTTCCCATCACATTAAAATTTATGTGTGTATATGTATGTATTTATACACTCAATACAGTATAACAGTATCCTACTGAATTTATATCAATTATTGTATAACACAGTGATATATTGTTATACATTTTATTATGTATGAAATTTTGTGTATATGTAAATAAAAATGACAAAAAAAAAATCAGCCGATTGCATTTGTATTTGTATATTGACAATATTTTCTTTATTGTATTTATATGTATTGCATAATACCGTTATACACATTCAAGTATACAAGTTATTTTCATTATGTAGCAATTGTATAAAATATTAGAGAATTCCTTTTATGACACATACATACTTCGTCTTTCCAATGGTTACTATCATTGTTTACCTCCTTAATATGACGTCATATCGCCGCAATACAAAAACATTCTTTCATTGTACAATATTTTGACATTGACTCAGCTGTCATAATGTCAAATAAAAATAGCGCTTGCGTATTATTATTTTGCATCATAATTAAATGAAAAAATAAGAAAAATATAAATTGTATGTATGTATATATTATTATTAAACAAAAATATAATAGAAAAACAAAAATAAAAACGAATTTTAAACGAAATTCTCTCTTTAAAACGGTATTAATAAAACCGTTATACAGTAGAAAAATTCTTTCAGTAATTTTCGAGTATTCGGTCGGTAAGGATGATTTTTAATTAAAATCTAAAAAAAAAAAAATACCAAAAATAAAAAAATAGAAAAAAATTGTGAACAAAATAAAAAAATTCATTTTACTTCGAATCAAAACGAAATTTTTCAATAAAAATATTCGCATTACACTTAAATAGTAAAGAACTAACAAGGAAATTATAATTTTATAATATTGTAAAACTTATATACAATATTACATTTAAAAGAAATTTTAAGAATTCTAAAAACGAATTGAAAACAAAGAGAAAAGAGCTTGTGTATTAACCAATTTATTCTTTAAAAAATTTTTAACGCAAATTAAAAATAAACAAAAATTAATTAAACAGTTCCGCTGTAACGTGTTAAAAATTTAATAAAAATAGATTTCGCATTTCTCGCAATTTAAATTAACTCACTTACAGTTGGCACTTAACACACTATATAAATATACATATATGTATGTAAATATAATTATAAACAAAATATGTTACATGAAAATTAAAAGTAATTAAAGTTGATTAAGAAAAAAACAAAGGCATACTATTTGAGTAAATGTCTAAATTTAATATACTATTGTACAAACAAATTTTAATACTTATTATGTACATGTATACAACATTCATTATTTCCGTCCTGTTGCATTCCTCTTAATTTTGAATGCCTTTACAACATAGTATGCATAGAATATTAAATCAGTTTCATTTATTTAATAATTGCAAAAATTTAATAAACTTAAAATCATATACATAAATATAGGTCATAAAAATATTTTATCCCATTATTGAAGAAAAAAACAACAAGAAATTGTAATAACAAAAATCAACATTATTATAATAAAAAAAAAAAACTCTATAAAATATTTTCTAAAACTTAATAAACAAAAAATCAATTAAAAATTATGGTAAAAATAAAATAACCCATATATGTATATGTGTGCATATAACAAATGAAAATTAATCATTAAAATATAAAAATAAATAACGAATAAAAAAAAAATTATAGCAAAAATTATTGCAATATTTATGAACTTTTACTTATATAATAAAAATCACCAAATTAAAGGTTATTTGGTTTAAAAACCAAAATTTTGGTCAAATAAAATTTTCATCACAGAAATAAATTATATACTTGTAAACACATAAAAAGGTAAATAATAACAAATAATCATAGATAATTACGTAAAATAAAAATTATATATAATAGCTATTTTTTTGTCGAATCAAATGTAGTATATAAAAATCCTCACACATGAAATAAAAAAAATTGGATCAATAAATTGATTATTCGCAATTAATACAGAATTTTTCAACTGAAATATTAGTTTTGAGTGTAATTTAAATTTTTTATTTCTGTTTACTAGTAATAGAAATTATACGTGCAGCTACATTTTCAGTAAATGTCCTTGTGTAAATGAAAAATTTATTAAAATACAATGTTTCCTGTGATATTTTCCATATTGTTATACTTCTTAATTGTTTTCGTCAACAATATTTTGATTTCGAAATTATTTTTAAAGCAAAATCAATAAAAAAAGCTTATAGCAAAGAAATTTTATTATTTGATTAATATAGCATAGTGGTTGCCTTATAAAATAACAAAGTAATCATTGATTAACATGCGGGAATCAAGAACCTTTCTGTTATACACTATTATTAATCAAAATAAGAATCTTTAAGCATTTATAATGTTTTCAAATACGTCGAAGAAATTGTTATTATTTCTTTAATTACGATATTATTCATTATAGTAATTATGATTACTATTACATTTAATATACAACAAAAATAACAAAAAAAAATTGAAAACAATTAGGATTGAGCTTTTAAGTGTTTCTTAAAAAAATTAAAATTAAGAATTGCTGTAATAAAAAAAAAAAATAATTGCTCAAAATAACTGCGAATTCTTTTGAATACCTTTGTTAATTAAAAATTCATATACCATAATTATTCTAAGAACGAATACGAAGATATAATTGTACTTTATATACGTCATGATACAAACATAAATATTTTATAAGAAAATATTTTATAATAAATCCTTGCAAAGAATTTTATGGGTCTCTTGTTTTTTTTTTTCCTTTTTCTTGTTTATATATAACATTTTTATTTTGTGTAATTTTTACATATTTATAGTATGTACGTGTGTTTTGCCGTTGAAATAATTTCTTAAAAGTATACTTTACTTTTTTTTTTACTTTTACTTACTTATTTATTTACAACTCTCTTACCGTGTACTTACTATGCAAGTATACTTTACTACTTTTCTCATATCATCGTCATCATCATAATATTATATATGTAATCAACCTACCACCATTAATGATAATAATAAACAAAAAATATACAAATAGGTACATATAGGTACATATATTAAGTATATGTATGCCTGTAAGTATGCAATTTTTACATGAATTTATAGATAATATATGTAATGCATGTATTGTAATGAGGGAAGGAAACTTGAACCGTTGAACTAAAAATGTGTATATATGTTTATATGTGCATGTACATATAAGTAAATATGGAAAAAGTACATTAAGTTCAGTATTAATGATTCAGTATATAACAGTATAAATAATTTTATTTTTAGTGGGTACTCTGTTACACGTGATTTTTTTTGCCGTTTCCTCTGTGCTTTTTCTGTTATTGTCATACTTTTCATGGTTAAACAAATACTTATTTAGATATGGATATATATATATATATATATACATATTTCATTCTCTTTATTTTTTTTTTTGTTTTATTTTTATTTATTTTTATAATAAAATTTTCTGTTCCACTTCTTTTGTTCATGTCCTTTTTATTTTATAAAATTACATTATTATATATTTTATAGCTGTTTTATTTTTTTTATTATACCTTATTATAAACAAAATATTTATACACACATATTACTCTATATATATGTATATATGTTATAAAAAGCTTTATATATTTATTTTTTAGTTTTATATTTTGCTTTTGTTAAAATTTTGCTCACTTATAAATAATATTATTGTCCTTGCATTTTCCTGTTCGCTTTACATTCTCAAGTGTTATACATATATATATATATATATATATATATATATATATATATATATATATATATAAATATCTCAAGTATAACATCATACGGTATTTAATTGTAACTCATGTCAACTTTTTTCTTTTTATCATTTATTTTGATTTTAAATCAATAATTATATATATTTTTTTCAAATAATAATATTAATGAAAATTAAAAAAAAAACAAGGAGATTAAAGTACATTCAATTAAATTATTGATTTTCCATAATACGATATTGCAATTGGTTTAATGAATTGCTTTCCTATAATAATATACAAGTATATACATATGCTTATATATGAAATATAATTTGATATAAATATAATGTTTTTCTCTTATAGATTAAATTATCATGAGAATTCATTTTTTTGTACTCATCATATAAACGTTCATATTTGCATACAAGTATATAATGTTAATGTATGTGTACCATTATTTCAAATTTAAAAACATAAATACAGAATGGTGTCGAAATTTTGAATGTTTAAAATATCTTGAAACGATTGATATTCCGAAAGATGACTTACCACATGCATTATATCTGTATAAAAGATTTCAATTGGTATACGTTTAACTGATAGCTTTAGTTAAATTAATTGAATAAATTTTTGAGTTCATATTGGTTATTTTGTTTAATAAGTATGGAAAACACAGCAGTTTTTTTTAATAAATAATTAAATTTTTTTCATTTTTTTGCAAACATGCGGATTTAATTATTTTGTTTTTCATATAAGACTAAAAGTTTAGTTTCTTTTTGTTACAAATTTATGTCTATTTTTTATTTTATTTTTAAAAATTATAAACCTCAAAGTTATTGTATTTAAAAACTCGATTAATTTAAAATATTCTCAAAATGGTATTGATAGATTTAAAGATTTCACATTTAAATATATGAAAAATGTCCAGATAATACAAAATTAATTTTTCATATTACAACTTGGAATATATATCTCCAAACTGTAGAAAATAAGAATAAGGAAGTTAATTTCAAACACTGCATTTTAGGCGAACTCAAATAGTTTTTGCAAATTTGTTCTACGTGAAAAAATAAAATCGAATATTCTTTTCTATGTTATCCTCGGCATTGAGAATTTATTGCAAGAACAGTAAAATTTCGTTAAACTTACCGATTATATAAAGAGAAATAAAGTTATTATATTATTACAGATTAAGCGGCTTTATTTCCAAACTACGAGTAAATATGGAATTTTTATTTTAAATCCTAAATATATTTTTCCAAAAAAAGTAGTAAAATTTAGTTTATGATTCAAACCTAAATTTCGAAGCAATTGTTCAAGGTAAATAGAGTTTTATAATTTACCTGCAATTTTCGAAGGCGAATATTAATTTTATGAAAAATATGCACAATATTTGAAATATTTATTCTTCCTTTTTTACATATATTATGTACATACACATATGTATAATATATTAGGAATATGTTTATGTAATTTATTAATATATGTGCATATTATCTACGTTAGTTTCACTAAAACGTATATAGAAGAAAAGTTGAATTGTATACGAATATTTTATATATATAACTATATATTATATATTTTGAATATACATTATAATATATTCACATTTATTTAAATATACAAAATATATTTTACATAATATAATAATTTTATTGTTGTTTCGGAGAACAGGTGTATTTTAAAAGGATATTATTTTATGAGAATATTTTATTTTCATAACAATATGATATTTTTTTTTCCTTGTTTTTTTTTTTAATAATAATGAAATTTTTGTTATTTTGTATAATATAAAATAAAAATAAGAAAATAAAACATTTTTTTTTTTTCTTCTTCTGTTTTTATTCTCATTGATAATAAATAATGTACATATATTAATAATATATGTTGGTTTTATATACTAAAGTCATACTGTAAATATAAAAAATCGAACAAAAATAAAATAAAATATAATATATTGATTGAGTAGAACATATGTTGACCTTAATATTGTTTTCACCTTTAATTGCGGATATACGTATCTTATAATATATTACCTGAAGTATTTAAATAATGAAAAATATATGGATAATTCAAAACAAAATAGGAAAAAAAAGAGAATATGTGAAATATTAAGGAAAGAAAATCGATTTTCTATTTTATATTTGCCTTTAAATGTTCATTATTTTTTGAGTTTATAAAATTTTTTGAAAATGTCTTTTTATGTATTTCATTGAAAAAAGATGTTGAATGATTTTTAATTAACATAATGTATTCTTCCTTGTAACATTCTGAAATTTTGTATACAGACTATATATACAATTTGATTTGATTTTGTAAATTTTTTTAAATTATGGTTTACAAATATTTTAGGATAGCTTTCAATTCTATGATAAATTCTGAGTATTTATGAAAGTTATCTGATCCGTCGGATTTTGCTTATAATAATACATTATTCTTCAGAAATAAGCTTTTCTGTATAACATTAATAATTTATGGTATGAATTTGGATCTATATATATAAAGACATATAAATTCATGCTCTTCGTTGATGATTTTTATGTAAAGTAGCCATATTTTAAGAAATAAACCAAAAACGCAGAGTTTGGAAAATTTTTTCACTACTTTCCAATTTGAGTACAATTAACAAATTACGTTTGTTTGAGCATGTACCATAAACCTTAAAAAGTAAATATTTTTTAAATTTATCAATAAATTTCAAAGAATATATTAAGCTACTATTCTCAAAAACAAAAATTATTACTTGCAGTAGTTGTTTAAGTTTTTATGAAAATTTTTGTATAATCTCACTGATTTTTTGTATTGGTTGCATTATATAGCTTAAACTATTTTACTACTAAAATGCTGGCTCTTTTTGAAAGCACTATAACCAGAGAGTGTACAAAATGTAAATAAATGTTCAATAATACCCCGTTTTCGCTTTTCTAGATATTTGTTCATTTTCTGAATTTTTTTTAATGTTTTAAATAAATTTTGGTAGTTCTAAAACTAAAAATAATTTATTTTTAGTTCAGCTTGCTCTTTTATAATTTCTTTTGTGAATTGTGAGTAATTTTCCTTTTCTTATTATTTATTGATGGATTAATAAAATATATTGGATTATTAACATTAACTTAA